TTTTCTAGCTTCAGTTTTAATTTTATTGCATCTAGGACTTAATGCTTCAGTGTGCTGAACACCCTGAATGGTCCTGTACTGCAACATAAACAGTCAGCACTAGGGGTCAAATCTCTCTGCTTTACCATCACATTAAGGATAGCTGAGTGCTACTTTTCTACCATTTTCTATCCAAATATGAATGATTTTGAGGTCAAACCTCAACAAAATAACACTGAATATTTACCAAACTAAATGAGTTCTCTGCTGGTTCCAGCCAAAGGTCCACACAGCACAACACACAGTCTCTGGCAGTTGTTTGCCAAAACATGTGACACACGTAAATGTGATGTTCCTCTTCTGCATGATGACAACAATACAACATCTACAGGATGACAATATCTGTATGGGGATCTTCCACAATGTACTTTGTTAGGACCTGATGCTGCAAGGTCTTCTCTGTTTGGTGACCTGTGAGCAGCACTGAGAATAATGAAAAAGCTGAGAATCTCGAATCTGTGCATGTGCCCCTAGATAGGAACAATCACTGTCATTAGTTTTAAAATAAATGAAAGAAATAGATTTGGGAGTTTTTAAAGAATGTAATAAAAATGTGTCCCTTAGGTATTTTGAACTTGGAATTCCAAAAGAATTTTCCACCCTAGCTGATTTGCACTGGCACACGTTGGTAAGGGAGGTAATGGAGTCTCCATCCCTGGAAGTATTCTAAAGGTATCGGGATATAGTGTAGGTTTAGGTGGCCTTGTCTGAGCAGTGGGGTTGGACCAATCATCTCCAGGCACCCCTTCTACCTCAGCAGTTTTGCAGATCTGTGATAACTGAGCCCCAAAATCAAAAGTCTCAACCAGGCAAGGAACCCTTGCAGGCAGTGAAGTGTGGTGTCAAACCCCAAGCTTACACATGACCCAGCTGTGACATTTGGCCGCACCATAACTTTTCATGCAGTGAGATAAAGACCTGATTCTGCCCTGCCCTGAGTATATCTGGGGAGGCCTGAGTATAGTCAGTGCTCATTACCAATCACAGTCAAAATGTTCTTGATCTTACCCCTCTGAAGTCAAGTTTGTCTTTGCAAGGAGTGGATCAGGCCTTTACAGAATGAGGCTGCAACTCTGTAAAGATCAGATATAGATTTTCCTTTAGTATAGCCCTTATGAAATCCCAATAGTGGAGTCAAACATCTGAGGAAGTTTATGCTGCAGGAGTTCATCCAGAATCCAAGAAAGGAAGATGATGAAGAAGAGAAGTCATAAGAGTGAGATGGGAAAAAGCAGGAGAGAGTGCACAGGAGTACAGAATTAGAAGGGAAAACATGGGCCATGGAAGAAACCCAGAGACAGGAGAAAATGCTGTTGTTTGGTCTCTCTCTGTTTTTTTTTTTTTCAAAAAAAGGGAAGAAAAATCTTGGGAACTTCCCCCTACATCAATAGCAGGCAAAAGAAATTCTATTCTGTGCAAAATCTCTAGAACTGGACAACTGCTTTGAGAAGATGAAAGTGTATAGCAAGTGTTTTTGAGAGGAGAAGGAAGGA